ATCAAGTTTTCTTGTAAGCATAACATATGAAAAACTGTGTTTGAATTTTAATAAATGCTTTTTTTTAGGTAAACTATTAAATAATGATGATATAACGCTTACGTAAAGGACTCTTTAAAGTCAAACAATTACAGCATATTACTATCAATATTCAACTTGTGTTTATTTTCTTTTTGAAAATTTAGGAAGCAAACAAATTCTGAATACTCGTTTCTTAATATTAACCTGAATTAAATAACTCAAATCTAACGAATATCAGAATTTTCTTAATTGTACTTTAGAAATTTTTGTTAAAACAGAAATCTTAAGGAAAAAGTAATGTGATCGGATGTTGATCTTAGCAATTATCAATTTATAATTGTATAGTGAAATACAAATTTCAATAATGTTTAACATATTCAATATGTCGAATATATTTAATATAGTTAATATATCTAACATACTAGATATGTCTAACGTAGTTAATATAGTAGATATAGTTAATATAATTAATATAATTAACATAGTTAATATATTAAATATATCAAAATATGTAATAGAATAGATATAAATATAAGCCCTTTTGTCAGTTAAAAAAAGACAGACTGATGGCTGTATAGAAACCTTTCTCTTGTAAAAGATAGCACAATGCTACTCTTTACCTTGTAGATCTCTATTTCTTATTTTTATTTTCTTATTTCTTTCATATATTATTATCTTATTATCTTTCTTTTATTTCAATAAAGTATTTCTTACTTCTTACTTGAAACTCTTCGTAAATTACTGTGATAACACTTAACTTATGATTAAGCTACTTGCATTTAATAAACTTAACTTAAACTTAATAAACTAGTAATAAATTAATTAAGATTAGTATAGACTAATTAGAATTATATGTAGACTATAAAAGAATCAGCTCTCTAATATTGCATCTAATAATTGCAACTTAAAAAGATTGCACATTAACAGTATTGATAAAGTAGTTTAGTTTATAAATTTAATTTATAGATAATTTTGTATTTTCTATTTTATTATATGTATTTAGTATTATATAAATTTAATAAAGATCATGCAAAACTGTCGCACTTAAAAATATTTAAAGTTTCTAGACGAAATCTAAAGGTTTTACAAGTCATCTAAATAGAAAAAGATAAAATTTAGTAAAATTATATTAAAATTTTATTAAAAAATCTACGAAATTCTGAAAAAGGTAAAATTATATTAAAGCTTATAAAAATGCGAAACTTTATCAAAACTTTAGTAAAAATTAGCAAAATTATAGTTTAAATATTTTGCTAAATTCAAAATAAGTTTAGATAAGCAATCTTACAAAAGATACTTTAAAACTATATTTGTAATAATATTTAAATAATTTATTTTTAAATATTATAAGTTTTAAATATATTTGTATGAAATTACAAGAAATTATATATATTAGATTTTGAAGTTAACATATAAGTAAAATGTTTGAATTGGCTTTTTTTATATATAAAAATTGCGAAATGCATGATGTTATTTCCCTTAATTGAAGACAATTGCCATAAGATTAAGGGACAAATCTTATGTAATATTAGATTAAGAACAGTTAAATGTGTTATAATTTTAAATTTTTACAATTACCTTAAATTTTGAAAAACATATTCTATTATTATTAATTTATATAAAATTGATAAAAACTTATTTAAGAAAAAATTAAGATACTTTAAGATTTTAAATTTAAAATAATTTGTTATATTAAGTCATTTTTTTTTTTTTTGATAATTGATTTAATTTTTATAATTATCTAAGATAAATAAAAAAGATAAATTTAAAAAAAATAATGCAAATCTTATTATTAAATTAATTTTTGAAATAAGTTTAGCTTATATTTAAAGTTAAATACAAAAAAAATATATTAAAATTTGATTCTTATTCTTAAATTTTTTATTGAATTTATTTAATAATTAAAACTTATTTATTATTAAATCATGTAATACAGTTTTTTTTAAAAAATGAAATAATATAATAATAATCTATATTTTTAAAATAAAGGAATATAATAAAAAAAGATGATGGTAATAAAGATTTTATTATATACCATTATAGAAATATTGTTAAATGATTTAATTAATCTAGAGTATAATAAAGACTATATAATTTTATATATAATTAAAATATGATCATGTGATAATATATAGTGCAGTAATATGTATTTTATGTTTATAATAGTATAAAATTTGATTGAAAGCTTCTAATCTATTAGAAAATTATGCTTCTAATTCTTCTAAAAAAATACTTCTAAGAATACTTTTAATCTTTTGAGTACACATCACTGGTAGCATATAATGATGAGTATTATTTAATTTAATTAATTAAATATAATAATTAGGAATAGGCATTAATTAATCAAAGGATAATTAATCAAAAGATATTTTTAGTTGACTAATCAAAACAAAAAGAAACTTTTAAAATTTTTATAATATTATATTTAGAATTGTAAAGTAATATAAAAATATATATAATATTAATTAACGGTTAATTAATGATTATTAATCAGGTAATTAATCAAATCTTAATTAACTGTTAATTTCCTATTTCTAGAATAATTAACCATTTTAATTAATTTTAAATTAACCAATCAAATTAAAAAAATTGATTAATAAAATTAATAGATTAATATAGATAATAAATTATTTTTTTTATTTAATATTTTATGAAAGTTTAATTTTAAATATGTAAAATTTTTTTTAATATTTAAAACTTAAAATTATATTAAATAGCTTTGCTTGTTCTCCTATTTTTCTTATTTTTATTACTTTCAACTTATCTAATATTTAATTTATAAATAAAGTCAACACTATTTCAAAAATTTCTTTAGTTTTTTTTTAATAAAATAGTAAAAAGAAGGGAATTATTTAGAATTATTAGACAATTATTATATAAAGTTTAATAAAAAATAATGATATTAAATTAAGTTTATATCCTTTTATAAAATGTAATTATTATTTTAAAGTTTTTAATAGAGCTATTCTTTTAAGAATATAAGCTTATCTTAATAAGTATTTAAACATATTAAGTAATGCTAAATTATAAAAACTATTCTAATACAAAATCCTATATTCTCAAAAAATATCACAAAACATTCTTTAACTAATACAAATACAGCTCTTTATAAAATAAATAGATCTAAAAAATAAATTAAATTAGATAATTTTGCTGATAGTATAAAGAAAGAAAAATAAGAATCTCTTAAAATTTATTAGCTTAGACATTATATTTAGCTAAATATCATTTATCTTTGTTAATAATCCCTTTGTTATTCAATTTTTTAAATATTTTTGATTATCTTTTAAGCTTTTAAATAAAAAGAAGATAGCTAATGAATTATTAGATAAAGTTTATAAAGATATAAAGATATAAGTTAATGAATAAATTTTAAAAGTAATAACTCTTTGTATAGTTTCTTATGGCTGGTTTAACATTAACAGAGATTCAGTACATAATTTTATTATTTGAATTTCAAAACCTTTTTTTTGATACAACTTTTTTAGATAAGAATCTCATACAGCAGAATGGATTGCAAATCAAATAATTCAAAAAATAGATATTATTAGTATTCAAAAATTTTTAGTAGTTATTACAGATATAACTAATATAATAAAAGCAGTATAAAGAAATATTGAAAAAAATTACTAATATGGTTTCTTTTGGGTATAACTCTCATATTATTAATTTTTTAATTAAAGATATTTTATTATTTGATGAAATTAAAGCTATAGTTAATAATGAAAAATCAATAGTAATCTATTTTAGATCTCATTTATAAGTAGTAGCAAAATTAAATTGTATTCAATTTGAAAATTATAATAAGGAAATTACATTAGTTTTACCAGTACTTATATGATAAAATATACATCTTAGCTGTTTTCAATCACTTCAAAAACCAAGAATTGCTCTTAAATAATCATTGATGGATTCGTTAAAAAATGGATCAAATAATGAGAAATAATATATTATCAGATGAATTTTGACAAATAGTAGATTTGATAATTAATATTTTAGAACTAATAGTTGTAGCATTAAAGTCTTTTAAATCAGATACATCTACTCTCTTAACAATTTATTCATATTATAGCAAATTAATAGAACAATTTGGTAAAGTTTCATGGCATTTATCTGAAAATATTTAGCAACTTATTCAAAAAAGATGGAGTGTACATATCATCTTATTATGATGGCTGCTTATATGTTAGATCCATGTTTTTTAGAAGAAAGTAGGAATACAGATTAGAGGCAGCTGGATAATCTGAATTTACAGCATTTACTAACAAATTGTTTGATCAGGAGAAATCTGTAACATTGTTTATTGAGCTAGTAAATTTCGCCAAAAAGCTTCACCATATGATAATGAAATAATTTGGATGTCATCATCTACTCTTAGTCCTTCTGTGTGGTGGCAATCATGGCCAAGTTGTGAGCTTCAGCAATTGGCTATCAAAATTTTTTTAATTCCTACATCATCAGCAGCTGCAGAGAGAAATTTTTCTACTTTTGGATTTATTCATAGCAAAATCCGAAATCGATTACGTAATGATCGCGTTAAAAAGTTGGTTTATATTTATGGAAATCTCCGGATGTATGATGAGTTCAAAAAAATAAAGTTATGTAATAAAGGCAAGAAATTCGCAAAGAATAAAGAGGATAATAATGAAGGAGGCAATGAAAGAGGCGATGATAATGACGATGATTTATTGAATTTTGATGATAGTATTTTCGGATTTGAATCAAATGTAATAAATTTGTTGTAACAATATTGATATATAATAAATTTCCGTTTAATAAGTAATATTGCGATAACGATAAATAAAAAATTTTTTTTTATATAAAATTTTATATTAAAATTTAAATTAACCGGTTAATTAACCAAATCGTGTGTGACATTAATTTGCTTATAAAACTTCGGACTTTAAAACGGTTTCCGTTTCCTAGTAATTAGTGAACCGACGCGTCCAATATAAGTTTTTGGAGACTGTTAATTCTATCTATAATAACATAACATTCTCCTTTATAGTTTTACAATGATTTCTTCCTACACTAGAGTTCCTACTGACAGTGCTCAAATGGGTCTGTTCTACCAAAGACTCCAAGTTCCTTGGAGCAAGTTGTACCTAAGCAAGGATTTGTTATCAATAAAATGATCTTAAAAGATTTTAAGTCTTATTCTGGTGAACAGGAAATAGGTCCATTTCACAAGGTATAATATATGCTTGGAGATTTGCTGCGTCCCGAGATTCTCTCTAATCATTAAATTTAATTTCAAAAGTCATTTTCTGCTATCGTTGGATCAAATGGTTCGGGAAAATCAAATGTGATCGATGCGCTTTTAGTTGTATTTGGTTATCGAGCAAATAAGCCAAATTATCAGTACTTATTCATTCATCGCAGGGGCTGGATGCTTGCAGAGTTGATGTATATTTTGAAGAAATTCTTGACTTGGTAAAGAAAAGTTTTAATTTCCAAAAAAAAAAAAAAAAAAAAAAAAAGACAAAAATTCACTTAAAATAATAACGCATGATGTTTATTAATATTATAGCCTGGTTCGGATAATTATGAGGTTTTACCTCAATCCCAATTGGTTATCTCGCGTCAAGCATTTCGTAATAATGCAAGCAAGTATTTCATAAATGGGCGACAAAGCAATTACACTGAAGTTACAAGTCTTT